CGATTTGGTGAAAACCACTTAAAATTGTAGGTTCGAGCAGAATTTTGTTGAAACATACCTGATTTTTTACGTACCTGAAAAAGGTGCTACAAACGAAGGTCCAGGTATATGTATATATATAATACACATATATGTATGCATGTATTGTAGACATGACATACAGAATGAATCTATCTACCTATCTACCTATCTACCTATCTACCTATCTACCTATCTACCTATCTACCTATCTATCTATCTATCTATCTATATCCATCTTTATCCATCTTTATCCATCTTTATCCATCTCTATCCATCTCTATCCATCTCTATCCATCTCTATCTATCTAAATCTATCTAAATCTATTTAAATTTATTTAAATATTTCTAAATCTACCTAATTCTATCTTGTCTAAATCTATAATTTAACTGCATCGTTTTTTTCAAATATATATATATATATATATATATATATGGTGCAGCGTTGGCCACCCCCCCCCTCCCCCCCCACCAAATGTCTTGTGTGGACCATTAATCGTCTGTTCTTCTGGCCCCCCCCCTGTGGCCCTGGTGGTGGTGGTGGTTCTTCTGGTCCCCCCACCCCCCCTGTGGCCCTTTGTGGTGGTATGGTTCTTCGGGTCCCCCCCCCCTGTGGGCCCTGTGGTGGTTTTCTGTTTTGGTCTGTTGGTATGTTGGTCTGTTGGTCACTGTTGGTCATGTTGGCTGTTTGTACTTGTAGGTATGGTAGGTCATTCGTATTTCATGTGTGTCACGTCTGTATGGCCGTTTCCGGTTCCGTCCCTGTTCCGTCCGTCCGGTACTAGTCCGGTCCGGTCCGGTCCTGTCCGGTCCCGGTCCTAGTCCGTGGTCTGTCTGTCTGTCGGCTCCGTCGGTCTACGGTCCTGATCGGTCTGTCTGTCTGTCTGTTGTCTGTCTGTCTGTCTGTCTGGCCTGTCCGGGCCGGTCCCGTCGTTCGGTCCTGTCCGGTCCGGTCCTTCCTGTCGCGGTCCTCCTTCCTGGTCTGTCGTCTGTCTGTCTGTCTGCCTTTCCGGTCCGGTCCTGTCCGGTCCTGTCCGTTCCTGTC